TGGGGGTGCTTTGCTAGTGACAGTGTCTGTGATTTATTTAGAATTCAAGGCACACTTAACCAGCATGGCTACCCCAGCATTCTGCAGCGATACGCCATCCCATCTGGTTTGGGCTTAGTTGGACTATCATTTGTTTTTCACCAGGACAATGACCCAACACACCTCCAGGCTGTGTAAGGGCTATTTTACCAAGAAGGAGAGTGATGGAGTGCTGCATCAGATGACCTGGCCTCCACAATCCCCCGACCTCAACCCAATTGAGATGGTTTGGGATGAGTCGGACGGCGGAGTGAAGGAAAAAAAGCCAACAGCATATGTGGGAACTCCTTCAAGACTGTTGGAAAAGCATTCCATGTGAAGCTGGTTGAGAGAATGCCAAGAGTGTGCAAAGCTGTCATCTAGGCAAAGGGTGGCTATTTGAAGAATCTCAAATATAAAATATATTTTGATTTGTTTAACAATTTTTTGGTTACTACATGATTCCATTTGTGTTATTTCATAGTTTTGATGTCTTCACTATTATTCTACAATGTAGAAAATAGTAAAAATAAAGAAAAACCCTTGAATGAGTAGGTGTGTCCAAACTTTTGATTGGTATATATAGACTACACTGTTTACATCCATGTAATATACATTCTGTGATATATCATCAACAGCTATGTTTACTGAAACACACTCAAATCAACACTCTCTACTGGCTTTGTGCAGAGTGCATTTATTTTATAATCTATCATACACATGAACACAGAAATGAATCGTCAAATAAATGTATTTGGCTAAGGTGTATGTAAACTTCCAACTTCAACTGTAAAAGTAATCAAAAGTATCTGTAATCTTATTACAATATATTTTAGTAATCCGGTTACATGTGACTGATTACATGTAATCAGTTACTCCCCAACCCTGACTATAAGATGGGGCTGAGCCATCCTTGCTGGGCAACTTTAGTGAGTTGGACTCCATTTGATTCTTGCCACCGATCACCAGCGAGGTAGCCATGGCCACCTGGCGTGACTGGATGGTGGATTTGCGTGATTGGTGTATGCGGGTGAAGCACTCTTTACATCGTTTCCCCACCAGGTACAGGATCTCAAAGAAGGATAGCAGGATACAGGCCAGGCTGGTGACCACCATGAAGATGGTGAAGATACGTTTCTCTGTGGGGCGAGAGATGAAGCAGTCCACCTTGTTGGGACAGGGCTTCTGCTCACACTTGATGAGGGAGGGGAAATCATAGCCCTCGTAGATATGGTAGATTAAATAAACAAAGGTGGCGTCCACGGCTATCTTGAAGACCAGGGTCAGGACGTAGGTCCACCACAGCCCACCACGCTTCTTGCCGGTGTTCTTGTAAAGTTTCCGACAGCCCTCGCCATATTTGAGCGTATGTTTGCGCTCACGTTCATCTCTGTAGGCCACGTGCATCACCACCATGAGGGAGGGACAGGTGACAAAGATGAGCTGCAGGGCCCATAGGCGGATGTGGGACACAGGGAAGAAGTGGTCAAAACAGACGTTATGGCAGCCAGGCTGGGCTGTATTGCACTGGAAGTCCTTCTGCTCGTCACCCCACACCTTCTCTGCCGCCACGACAAACACCATGACCCTGAAGAGGAAGACAATGGACAACCACACACGGCCGAACGCTGTGGAGTACTTGTTCACCCCACTGAGGAGGCCCTGGAGGAATGCCCAGTTCATTGTGAAGCTGACTTACAATCTACCTCTCTGATGGAAGTTAAGATAGAGGATGGTGTGAGAAACCTGTTGGTTGAGATCTCAAGTCAAATTCTGGAGTGTTCCTTACTTTCAGCCATCTATAGAAAAAGAGAGAGGGGGTAGGGGGAAGAGAAGGCCTTTGAGTATGAGTGAACAAAAACACAACTGGTGTTTTTGTTTTCCCCCAATGATTTATATATACACACATAATTGGTTTTCCCCTGTGTAAAATTCCCAACAAATAGCCCTAACTGGGAGCTATTTTCACACTTTCCATCTTTTTTCAAAATAAGATTGAATAATGAATAATAATGTGAATGTATGAAGGATGACAAAAGCCCCCATATCCTAAAAGCACAAGACAGGATTCCTATTTAGTAGCAAGTTAACTATTGCAAAATAGCAAGTTAACTGTTCAGAGTAGGTCTAAACATCAACCGTCACATGTTCTTATCGTTTTTAACACGGACAGGCTATGCTGCAACTACAGTACTTTATTCCCCAATTGTTTATTCTAGTGAGTGCACTGAATAATAGAGAAAGAACAGAGAAAACATTTCCCAAATGCAGTCTCTTCAACCAACGGAAAATAACCCAAACTTTCTTTATCGTAATCTTTAGCTAATCTAATAACCTTAAACTAATACTATTGATACACAGGTGGATATGTAAACAAATCATGTACTTACACTTCAAAATGTATTTGACGAAAGAACCATAAACTCAGTCGGGGAAGTTGCAGTCCGTATAGGAACGGAGAAACACCCTTTTACCACCAATGAATGTCTCTGAAGATTTCTCAAGAGTGTAGGTGGAGTAGTCACAAAGCGATGTTGTCGTGCAACATTCAACTTGTTCAGGTGGGGCTAGCGAACCATGCAGATGAGCGGTTTCACGGGCCATTTAAATGTACACGAACAAAAATATAAACGTGCATTAATTTAAAATATTTTACTGAGTTACAGTTCATTTAAGGAAATAAGTCAATTGAAATAAATTCCTTAGGCTCTAATCTATGGATTTCACGACTGGGAATACAGATATACATCTGTTGGTCAAAGATACACTACATTACCAAAAGTATGTGGACACCTGCTCGTCGAAAATCTCATTCCAAAATCATGGGCAATAATATGGAGTTGGTCCCCCCCTTTGCTGCTATAACAGCCTCCACTCTTCTGGAAAGGCTTTCCACTAGATGTTGGAACATTGCTGCGGGGACTTGCTTCCATTCAGCCACAAGAGCATTAGTGAAATCTGGCACTGATGTTGGGCGATTAGGCCTGGCTCGCAGTCGGAGTTCCAATTCATCCCAAAGGCGTTCCAATTCATCCCAAAAGTGTTAGATCGGGTTGAGGTCACCGATCTCAACCAACCATTTCTGTATGGACTTAACTTTGTGCAGGGGGGCATTGTCATGCTGAAACAGGAAAGGGCCTTCCCCAAACTGTTGCCACAAAGTTGAAAGCACAGAATCCTCTAGAACAAGGGTACTCAACTCTTACCCTACGAGGTCCGGAGCCTGCTGGTTTTCTGTTCTACCTGATAATTAATTGCACACACAGATGGTGTCCCTGGTGTAAATCAGTCCCTGATTAGAGGGGAACAATGACAAAATGCAGTGGAACTGTCTTTGAGGTCCAGAGTTTAGTTTGAGGGGTCTAGAAGGTCATTGTATGCTGTAGCGTTAAGATTTCCCTTCACTGGAACTAAGGGGCCTAGCCTAAATCATGAAAAACAGCCCCAGACCATTATTCCTCCTCCACCAAACTTTACAGGTGGCACTATACATTCGGGCAGGTAGCGTTCTTCTGGCATCTGCCAAACCCAGATTCGTCTGTCGGACTGCCAGATGGTGAAGCTTAATTAATCACTCCAGAGAACGCGTTTCCACTGCTCCTGAGTCCAATGGCGGCGAGCTTTACACCACTCCAGCGCATGGTGATTTTAGGCTTGTGTGCGGCTGCTCGGCCATGGAAACCCATTTCATGAAGCTCCCGACGAACAGTTCTTGTGCTGACGTTTCTTCCAGAGGCAGTTCGGAACTCGGTAGTTAGTGAAAAACCTCCTTCACATAGAGTTGATCAGGTTGTTGATTGTGGCCTGTGGAATGTTTTCATACTCTTCTTCAATGGCTATGCGAAGTTGCTCGATATTGGCGGGAACTGGAACATGCTGTCGTGCATATCGAACCAGAGCATCCCAAACATACTCAATGGGTGACATGTCTGGTGAGTATACAGGCCATGGAAGAACTGGGACATTTTTAGCTTCCAGGAATTTTGTACAGATCCTTGCAACATGGGGCCGTGCATTATCATGCTGAAAAATGAGGTGATGGTGGCAGATTAATTGTACGACAATGGGCCTCAGGATCTCGTCATGGTATCTCTGTGCATTCAAATTGCCATCGATAAAATGCAATTGTGTTCTTGTCCTTGGTTTATGCCTGCCCATACCATAACCCCACCGCCACCATGGGGCACTCTGTTCACAACGTTGACATCAGCAAACTGCTCGCCCACACAACGCCATACATGTGTTCTGCTATCTGCCAGATACAGTTGAAACTGGGATTCATCCGTGAAGAGCATACTTCTCCAGCGTGCCAGTGGCCATCAAAGGTGAGCATTTGCCCACTGAAGTCGGATACGATGCCGAACCGCAGTCAGGTCAAGACCTTGGTGAGGACTACGAGCACGCAGATTAGCTTCCCTGAGACGGTATTTGATAGTTTGTGCAGAGATTCTTCAGTTGTGCAAACCCAGAGCTTTATCAGCTGTCCGGGTGGCTGGTCTCAGACAATCCCGCAGGTGAAGAAGCCGTATGTGGGGGTCCTGGACTGGTTACACGTGGTCTGCGGTTGTGAGGCTGGTTGGACGTACTGCCAAATTCTCTAAAACGACATTGGAGGTGTCTTATGGTAGAGAAATGAACATTCAATTATCTGGCAACAGCTCTGGTGAACATTCATGCAGTCAGCATTCCAATTGCACTCTCCCTCAAAACTTGAGACTTCGATGGCATTGTGTGACAATACTGCACATTTTAGAGTGGCCGATTATTGTCCCCAACACAAGGTGCACCTTTGTAATGATCATGCTGTTTTATCAGCTTGTTGATATGCCACACCTGTCAGGTGGTTGGATTATCTTGGCAAAGGAGAAATGTTCACTAACAGGGATGTAAACAAATATGTGCACAAAAAGAGAGAAATAAGCTTTTTGTGTATATGGAAAATATCTGGGATCTTTTATTTCAGCTAATGAAACACTTTACATGTTGCGTTTATTTTTGTTCAGTATAATTCAGACTGGAGCTGCGGATCATAGGCTTTTATTTCAGACATTTTATAAAAAATAGCGGGGGAAATAATACACAACGACCAAAACATTTTTGAACGTTTTTAAGAAAAAACATTCAAATCTAAAAACAGGTAAATTTTATAGTGAGAAGACGTAATTATTTCACAATACTGTACCCAACAACAAAAACGTTTAATTTTAAATCCGGAAAATATGAAATTGACACAGCAGCTGTTTGTGTTCATTATAAAAGTGTTTGTCATATTTACATCACAGAGCGGGTGGGACCAACAGGAACAATCCATGTACAGCAGATGAGTCATGGGCATCTGCAGTACATTATACAAAATGAGCACTTTTTACAATTCTGCAGTCTGACACTGCTCATCTTTCTCACACATTCACAGTCACACACAACAGTCACTCTCCTATGCTTCAATTCAAACATACTCTCCACAGTCTGAAATGATCACTTTTTGCTTGGGCTTGCCTTCTTTTGTTCCTTGTGCCTGTGGGGACAGAGTTAACATGACATGAGTCTTGGTACACAACTTCTTCACAGTCTGTAACCCCCTATAGGATCATTCTTCCCCTTCACCACCTCCATGCATGTCCCTCCCCTCCGCTTACCTCCATGGCTTTGACCACCTCCATGCCCTCCATCAACTCTCCAAACACCACATGTTTGTTATCCAGCCAATCCGTTTTGTCACAGGTGATGAAGAACTGAGAGCCGTTGCTGTTTGCTCCAGAGTTAGCCATGGAGAGCTGACCTGACACACAAGAGAGGGGAGCATTAGGAAGCCATCCTTGTGTGATCAGAAACCATACTCAATCAAATCCGCATATGGCAATGCCTCGTGCACTTTCTCACCACTCTACACATTCATTCACAGACAAACTGCTATTTAGACCTGGACAGGCACGTGTCTCACCTGCAGCAGTGTGTTTGAGGACAAAGTTCTCATCGTCAAACTTGCGCCCGTAGATGGACTTGCCCCCAGTGCCATTGTGGTTGGTGAAGTCTCCTCCCTGACACATGAACTGTGGGATGACGCGGTGGAAACTGCTGCCTTTGAAGCCAAAGCCCTTCTCATGTGTGCACAAGCAGCGGAAGTTCTCTATAGGAGATATCAGGGCGAGAGGGTTGTAGATTTTAGGGGATGCTGCTTCTATTTAACAGGCATAGAGAGACTTAATTGGCTGCATGTTTCCAGCTTTACATATGATCTCTGCTTTGATACGTTCTGATACCTAGCCACTTTACCCTGCCTTCATGTACAGTGCCTTCAGAATGTATTCATACTCCTTGACCTATTCCATAATGTTGTTACAGCATGCATATAAAATGTATATTATTTATTTTTTTCTCACCTATCTACACACGATACCCCATAATGACAAAGTGAAAATGTGCTTTTAGAATTTTTGCAAATAGAAATATCTAATTGAAACAAGTATTCACACCCCTGAGTCAATACTTTGTAAAGGCACCTTCGGCAGCGCTTACAGCTGTGAGTCTTTCTGGTTAAGTCTCTAAGAGCTTTCCACACCTGGATTTTACAATATTTGCCCATTATTCTTTTCAAAATTATTCCAGCTCTGTGAAATTGGTTGTTGACAATTGCTATACAACCATTTTTCAGGTCTGGCCATAGATTTTCAAGTAGATTTAAGTCAAAACTGTAACTCAACACCTCAGGAACATTCACCGTCTTCTTAGTAAGCAACTCCAGTGTAGATTTGGCCTTGTGTTTTAGGTTATTGTCCTGCTGAAAGGTGAATTCACCTCCCAATGTCTGGTGGAAAGCAGACTGAACCAGGTTTTCCTCTAGGATTTTGCCTGTTGTCGGTACCCCCTGTATATAGCCTCGTTGTTTATTCCCACTGGGAATGTGATGAAAAACATATACATACATACACACACCACACAGTTGAAGTCGTAAGTTTACATACACCTTAGCCAAATACATTTAAACTAAAATTTCACAATTGCTGACATTTAATCCTAGTAAAAATACCCTGTCTTAGGTCAGTTAGGATCACCACTATTTTAAGAATGTTTAATGTCAGAATAATAGTTGAGAGAATTATTCATTTCAGCTTTTATTTTTCATCACATTCCCAGTGGGTCAGAAGTTTACATACACTCAATTAGTATTTGGTAGCATTGCCTTTAAATTGTTTAACTTGGGTCAAACGTTTCGGGTAGCCTTCCAGAAGCTTCCCACAATAACTTGGGTGAATTTAGGCCCATTCCTCCTGACAGAGCTGGTGTAACTGAGTCAGGTTTGTAGGCCTCCTTGCTCGCACACGCTTTTTCAGTTCTGCCCACACATTTTCTATAGGATTGAGGTCAGGGCTTTGTGATGGCCACTCCAATACCTTGACTTTGTTGTCCTTAAGCCATTTTGCCACAACTTTGGAAGTAGGCTGGGGTCCATTGTCCATTTGGAAGACCCATTTGAAACCAAGCTTTAACTTCCTGACTGATGTCTTGAGATGTTGCTTCAATATATCCACCACATTTTCCTTCCTCATGATGGTGTTCTTCGGCTTGCAAGTCCCCCCCTTTTCCTCCAAACATAACAATGGTCATTATGGACAAACAGTTCTATTTTTGTTTCATCAGACCAGAGGACATTTCTCCAAAAAGTACGATCTTTGTCCCCATGTGCAGTTGCAAACCGTAGTCTGGCTTTTTTTATGGCGGTTTTGGAGCAGTGGCTTCTTCCTTGCTGAGCGGCCTTTCAGGTTATGTCAATATAGAACTCGTTTTAATGTGGATATAGATACTTTTGTACCTGTTCCCTCCAGCATCTTCACAAGGTCCTTTGCTGTTGTTCTGGGATTTATTTGCACTTTTCGCACCAAAGTACGTTCATCTCTAGGAGACAGAACGCGTCTCTTTCCTGAGCGGTATGACGGCTGCGTGGTCCCATGGTGTTTATACTTGCGTACTATTTTTTGTACAGATGAACGTGGTACCTTCAGGTGTTTGGAAATTGCTCCCAAGGATGAACCAGACTTGTGGAGGTCTACAATTTATTTTCTGAGGTCTTGGCTGATTTCTTTTGATTTTCCCATGATGTGAAGCAAAGAGGCACTGAGTTTGAAGGTAGGCTTTGAAATACATCCACAGGTACACCTCCAATTGACAAAAATTATGTCAACCAGAAGCTTCTAAAGCCATGACATCATTTTCTGGAATTTTCCAAGCTGTTTAAAGGCACAGTCAACTTAGTGTATGTAAACTTCTGACCCACTGGAATTGTGATACAGTGAATTATAAGTGAAATAATCTGTCTGTAAACAATTGTTGGAAAAATTACTTGTGTCATGCACAAAGTAGATGTCCTAACCGACTTGCCAAAACTATAGTTTGTTAACAAGACATTTGTGGAGTGGTTGAAAAACCAGTTAATGACTCCAACCTAAGTGTATGTAAACATCCGACTTCAACTGTGTGTGTGTGTGTGTGTGCGCGCGTATATATATATATATATTTATTTTACGTTTTTTTTTTTACTTTTGTTTATTTAGTCAATATTTTCTTAACCAACAATGCAGTTAAGAAAAATAAGAGTTAAGGGCTTGTAAGTAAGCATTTCACAGTAAGGTCTACTACACCTGTTGTATTCGGCGAATGTGACAAATAAAATTTGATTTAGCTCCATTCCGTAGATTATATTTTCTCCTGAAAAACTCCCCAGTCCTTAATGATTACAAGCATACCCATAACATGATGCAGCCACCACTATGCTTGCAAATATGGAGAGTGGTACTCAGTAATATGTTGTATTGGATTTGCCCCAAACATAACACTTCATATTCAGGACAAAAAGTGAATTGCTTTGCCACATTTTTTGGCAGCATTACTTTAGTGCCTTGTTGTGAATGGGATGCATGTTTTGGAATATTTTTATTAAGTACAGGCTTCCTTTTCCCTCTGTCAATTAGGTTAGTATTGTGGAGTAACTACAATGTTGTTGATCCATCCTCAGTTTTCTCCTATCAGAGCCATTAAACTCTGTTTTAAAGTCACCATTGGCCTCATGGTGAAATCCCTGAGCGGTTTCCTTGCTCTCCGGCAACTGAGTTAGGAAGGACGCCTGTATCTTTGTAGTGACTGGGTGTATTGATACACCATCCAATGTGTAATTAATAACTTTCACCATGCTCAAAGGGATATTCCTTTTTTTTTTTTTACCCATCTACCAATAGGTGCCCTTCTTCGCGAGGCATTGGAAAACCTCCCTAGTCTTTGTGGTTGAATCTGTGTTTGAAATTCACTGCTCTACTGAGGGACCTTACAGATAATTGTATGTGTGGGGTACAGAGATGAGGTGGTCATTCAAAAATCATGTTAAACACTATTTTTGCATACAGAATGAGTCCATGCAACTTATTATGTGACTTGTTAAGCACATTCTCACTCCTGAACTTAATTTTGACTCAACAAAAGGGGTTGAATTCTTATTGACTCAAGACATTTCAGCTTTTCATTTTTTAAATAATTTGTACAAATAAAAAACCTAATTCTACTTTGACATTATGGGGTATTGTGTGACAAAATCTAAATATAATCAATTTTTAAACTCTGCATCATTGGGAAGGGCTCGTAAGCAAGCATTCCACTGTAAAGTCTACACCAGTTGTATTCGGAGCATGTGACAAATACAATTTTATTTGAATATCCCTAAAGAATCCCTAAAAGTTTAATGACTAAGTGTTCTATTTTCAGAAACGTCCCTGGTACTTTATAACAAGGAGGAGCATGGATACCTGCTGTCATAGGAACAATGTCTGCTCGGAGCAGGAAGCGCAGTCTCCCTGCTGGCTTGTTGCCAATCTTGATGTCCATGTAAACCTGGGGGTTCGTTCTGCCCTTCTTGGCTGGGGGCTCGCCCTGCAATCAATGATAATATATTATTGTGTCAGGCTTTTACAATATAATATGATACTATGCAATATACTACAGTGTACTACACTCATAGAGACAGGCAGGAACACATACACACACACAGTCAACTTACATCTGCTGTTGTTGATTTGGCTGATTCTCCAGTGGACTCCGTAACCTCAGCCTCTTCAGCAGTCGTTCCTGAGAACTTCTTCAGCCAATCATCATCCGACCAAACTGTGCGGAAATGGCATACAGTTAGCGGTTTTACCACATCTAAAAGCCATGGGACAGTTTAAAGTCTTTATAGAGTGACTAATGCATATCATTCACCTGGACGAGAAGAGCCCTCTTTGATCCTCATAGGTTTGGCGATGTTGACCCGGATGGTTCTTCCAAACAACTCTGACTCGTTCTGTCAATAAAACAGAGGGAAAACATGCATCAATGAGAGTTGTCCAATACCACAGCTTTGAAACATGTGAGTCACTGTCTCAGAGTACAGACTACCAAAACAGGGGATAATGCAAAGGACTGTTAGTTAAACCAAACTGACTTTAGTGGGAAGCAAACACTCACCATGTTATCAATAGCAGCAGCAGCATCCTGTGGAAGATGAAGAGTGGGATGAAAGACAATCACAGCAAACCAGTACAACACAATCACCATGGTGACCAATGACCACCCACCATAACCCCTAGATTAGGGTGTTAGGTGACTCGACAAACAATGGACGCAATTCTAGAATTCTACAAAACACAGCAGTGATCAAATCGATTTTCACTAAATGTCAATAATGTGGTTATCCTTAATACATAATAAATAATCTGAAAACATGAATGTGGAAGTTGTTTACCATGTCTAAAAATCACAATACTGTACGTCATGATATTTACGTGATATGACCCTAAATGTAAAGTAAGTGCCGTGCTTAGAACGTTCAATTCTATGGGACAGCCTATTTTTTATGAAACCCGCGAAATCGATGTGTTCATATTTGCTTTTTGCGATGGGTATTCCTCACTCTACCAGAGTTAGATCTATGTGACATTGTATTGCCAACAAGTATGGGAAAGTCCTGAGGGTGTTTTACGGTCATCAGACGTCCTTGGACTGAAAAATAAAGTAACTATTTTTCCTTCGCTTCTGTCATTCAGATGTTTTCAGAGACACTAAAAAAACATAGCATGTTACAAAGTAGTGCTTTGTAGCTAAATGTTGGTGTATGGGTTGTCATGGATTGGTCCAAACTCACATGGTGCCACCTGTTTTCATGACGGAATGCTAGCTAGCTGTTTGAGGGTGTTTGTTGGCTTGATGTCGCTTGCTGAGGTAACGCTCTGGGCGAGAGGCAGTGGCTGTATTGTGCCAACGGCAAATTTTGTGATTGATGGTTATATTATTTCATGTGTAAACTACCAGAATTCAGTGGCTACAGCCCTACAATCGATAAAAACATAGCTAAATATCAGAGAATTGAAAATGTGTCCCATATATCTTGCTGTGCAGGTGGCTAGCAGGCAGCTCACTGTCTCAGGCTAATTATTTGCCGATAACGGTGCAGTTCATCCTCCCATCACTAGAGAAACTCATCAACACCAAACATAACATTATATTGTAACCCAACTCTGGTGTAGGCCTACCTTAGAAGTAAGCTGTGTTATTTGACTAGTGTATCCTTCTTTGTTACAGTGCAGACTTGGTGAGAAGTGTGTGTGTCTGTGTTTGGCTGTGTCTGGTGAGTGTGTGCTGGTGGGGATGCTATGTAAGTGTGTGGGGATGCTGAAGGGGATGATGTGTGAGTGCATGCATGGGTGGTACCATACTCCATAGTGTAAACATTATTCATTGTTAAAGCATACCGCAATCCATGCTGAACCTGAGCCGGTGGAATACCCTCACATTGGTAACTAGCTAGCATCTCCAACATAATATTGTATACTTGCATTTAGGTTTTGATTAAACATACCTCTGCCAATTCAAATTCAATGAAGGCGAATCCTCTGTGCTTCTCTGCAAAGTAAACAATAACATGAGACATTAACGTCTGCTCTAAACTTCAGGGTTTCATCTCCAGACAGTAGCAGTTTGCTCTGGCTAAGTAGCCAGGAAGGATAGATTAGTTTATTTTAACTGATTCAACTTATCGTTTATGTCAAACTCTGAATGGTAAAGGTATTTATTCTGACCTGTTTCATAGTCTATTGGAATCTGAATGTCTGTGACATCCCCGAACGGAATGAATGCTGCGTGCAGCACTTTTTCGTCCACCTCCTCTGTTAGACCACCTGTCAACACAGCAGGTACAAACAATCAAGTTAGTTTACTATGAGCTGATTCAATAAGAAACTGTCTTTCAAGCTTTTAAAACTAAAGGTGTTCATATAATAACATGAATGGGGCTTTACAACAACCAATAAATTGATAAACGTTAGCTAACTTGCTAACGTTACACACACACTTGCTGCCTACAACTAGCTAATTTTATCTAGCCAGCGTATTCACAGACTGGTCCACTTTAAACGTAAATAATGTGTAGCTTAATTGACACGCGACTACTAACACATGTTTATTTCAACTACACAGTAACTACGTATAAAAGCTTTTGCAAAGCGTAGCCAACTCACCAACATAAAGCACTCGTTTGGTCGACGCCATCTTGAACCCTTAACCCTTGAACCCAGCAAGGCTCGTGATTGGTTCATTGCAACCAAAGCCCGCCTCTCTGGTGATCCGCTTTTGAGCTCTGGTGCCACCTGTCTTTCCCATTTAAAAATTATCGCTCAATCTTAACCAGTGGGAGTCTCCAAAAGCTAAAATCGTACAGCTCATCAACTCAAAATACAGTCGTGGTCAAAAGTTTTGAGAATGACACAAATATTAATTTTCACAAAGTCTGCTGCCTCAGTTTTTATGATGGCAATTTGCATATACTCCAGAATGTTATGAAGAGTGATCAGATGAACTGCAATTAATTGCAAAGTCCCTCTTTGCCATGAAAATGAACTTAATCCCCCAAAAACATTTCCACTGCATTTCAGCCCTGCCACAAAAGGCCAAGCTGACATCATGTCAGTGATTCTCTCGTTAACACAGGTGAGAGTGTTGACGAGGACAAGGCTGGAGATCACTCTGTCATGCTGATTGAGTTAGAATAACAGACTGGGAGCTTTAAAAGGAGGGTGGTGCTTGAAATCATTGTTCTTCCTCTGTTAACCATGGTTACCTGCAAGGAAACACATGCCGTCATCATTGCTTTGCACAAAAAGGGCTTCACAGGCAAGGATATTGCTGCTAGGAAGATTGCACCTAAATCAACCATTTATCAGATCATCAAGGAGAGAGGTTCAATTGTTGTGAAGAAGGCTTCAGGGCGCCCAAGAAAGTCGAGCAAGCGCCAGGACCGTCTCCTAAAGTTGATTCAGCTGCAGGATCGGGGCACCACCAGTGCAGAGCTTGCTCAAGAATGGCAGCAGGCAGGTGTGAGTGCATCTGCACGCACGGTGAGGTGAAGACTTGATATGTTCCTTTCCTGAGGATGGCTCACCCCTCACAGTTCTGGGTGACTTTAACCTCCCTACGTCTGCCTTTGACTCATTTCTCTCTGCCTCCTTTCCACTCCTTTCCTCTTTTGACCTCCCCCTCTCACCGTCCCCCCCTACTCACAAGGCAGGCAATACGCTTGACCTCATCTTAACTAGATGCTGTTCTTCTACTAATCTCACTGCAACTCCCCTCCAAGTCTCCGACCACTACTTTGTATCCTTCGCTCTCGCTCTCCTCCAACACTACTCACTCTGCCCCTACTCAGATGGTAATGCCGTCGCAACCTTCGCTACTCTCTCCTCTTCCATCCTATCATCTCTTCCCTCTGCTAAATCCTTCTCCCTCCGATCTCCTGATTCTGCCTCCTCAACCCTCCTCTCCTCCCTTTCTGCATCTTTTGACTCTCTATGTCCCCTATCCTCCCGGCCTGCTCGGTCCTCCCCTCCTGCTCCGTGGCTTGACGACTCATTGCGAGCTCACAGAACAGGGCTCCGGGCAGCCGAGCGGAAATGGAGGAAAACTAGACTCCCTGCGGACCTGTCATCTTTTCACTCCCTCCTCTCTATATTTTCTTCCTCTGTTTCTGCTGCTAAAGCCACTTTCTACCACACTAAATTTCAAGCCTCTGCCTCTAACCCTAGGAAGCTCTTTGCCACCTTCTCCTCCCTGCTGAATCCTCCTCCCTCTCTGTGGATGACTTCGTCAACCATTTTGAAAAGAAGGTTTACGACATCCGATCCTCATTTACTAAGTCAAATGACACCGCTGGTCCTGCTCACACTGCCCTACCCTATGCTTTGACTTCTTTCTCCCCTCTCTCTCCAGATGAAATCTTGCAACTTGTGACGGCCGGTCGCCCAACAACCTGCCTGCTTGACCCTATCCCCTCCTCTCTTCTCCAGACCATTTCCGGAGACCTTCTCCCTTACCTCACCTCGCTCATCAACTCATCCTTGACCGCTGGCTATGTCCCTTCCGTCTTCAAGAGAGCGAGAGTTGCACCCCTCCTCAAAGAACCTACACTCGATCCCTCCGATGTCAACAACTACAGACCAGTATCCCTTCTTTCTTTTCTCTCCAAAACTGTTGAGCGTGCCGTCTCTAGCCAACTCTCCTGCTATCACTCTCAGAATGACCTTCTTGATCCAAACCAGTCAGGTTTCAAGACTGGTCATTCAACTGAGACTGCTCTTCTCTGTGTCACGGAGGCTCTCCGCACTGCTAAAGCTAACTCTCTCTCCTCTGCTCTTATCCTTCTAGACCTATCCGCTGCCTTTGATACTGTGAACCATCAGATCCTCCTCTCCACCCTCTCCGAGTTGGGCATCTCCGGCGCTGCTCACTCTTGGATTGTGTCCTACCTGACAGGTCGCTCCTACCAGGTGGCGTGGCGAGAATCTGTCTCCGCACCACGTGCTCTCACCACTGGTGTCCCCCAGGGCTCAGTTCTAGGCCCTCTCCTATTCTCTCTATACACTAAGTCACTTGGCTCTGTCATATCCTCACATGGTCTCTCCTATCATTGCTACGCAGATGACACACAATTAATTTTCTCCTTTCCCCCTTCTGATAACCAGGTGGCGAATCGTATCTCTGCATGTCTGGCAGACATATCAGTGTGGATGTCGGATCATCACCTCAAGCTGAACCTCGGCAAGACGGAGCTGCTCTTCCTCCCGTGGAAGGACTGCCCACTCCATGATCTCGCATCACGGTTGACAACTCCATTGTGTCCTCCTCCCAGAGTGCAAAGAACCTTGGCGTGACCCTGGACAACACCCTGTCGTTCTCCGCTAACATCAAAGCAGTGACCCGATCCTGCAGGTTCATGCTCTACAACATTCGCAGAGTACGACCCTACCTTACACAGAAAGTGGCACAGGTCCTAATCCAGGCGCTTGTCATCTCCCGTCTGGATTACTGCAACTCGCTGTTGGCTGGGCTCTCTGCCTGTGCCATTAAACCCCTACAACTTATCCAGAATGCTGCAGCCCGTCTGGTCAACCTTCCCAAGTTCTCTCATGTCACCCCGCTCCTCCGCACACTCCACTGGCTTCCAGTTGAAGCTCACATTTACTACAAAACCATGGTGCTTGCCTACGGAGCTGTGAGGGGAATGGCACCTCCTTACCTTCAGGCTCTGATCCTACACCCAAACGAGGGCACTACGTTCATCCACCTCTGACCTGCTAGCCCCCCTACCTCTACGGAAGCACAGTTCCCGCTCAGCCCAGTAAAAGCTATTCACTGCTCTGGCACCCCAATGGTGGAACAAGCTCCCCCACGACGACAGGACAGCAGAGTCACTGACCACCATCCGGAGACACTTGAAACCCTACCTCTTTAAGGAATACCTGGAATAGTATAACAGTAATCCTTCTACACCCCTCCCCCTCCCCCCCATTTAAAAAAAGGGAGAAAAGGGGGTGGTTGTCCCACTGGCTATCCTAAGTTGAATGCACCAATTTGTAAGTCGCTCTGGATAAGTGTGTCTGCTAAATGACTTAAATGTAAAAATACTTTTGGAGGATGGCCTGGTGTCAAGAAGGGCAGCGAGGAAGCCACTTCTCTCTAGGAAAAACATCAGGGACAGACTGATATTCTGCAAAAGGTACAGGGATTGGACTGCTGAGGACTGGGGTAAAGTCATTTTCTCTGATGAATCCCCTTTCCGATTGTTTGGGGCAAACCTGGAAAAAAGCTTGTCCGGAGAAGACAAGGTGAGTGCTACCATCAGTCCTGTGTCATGCCAACAGTAAAGCATCCTGAGACCATTCATGTGTGGGGTTGCTTCTCAGCCAAGGGAGTGGGCTCACTCACAATTTTGCCTAAGAACACAGCCATGAATAAAGAATGGTACCAACACATCCTCTGAGAGCAACTTCTCCCAACCATCCAAGAACAGTTTGGTTACGAACAAAGCCTTTTCCAGCATGATGGAGCACCTTGCCATAAGGCAAAAGTGATAACTAAGTGGCTCGGGGAACAAAACATCGACATTTTGGGTCCATGGCCAGGAAACTCCCCAGACCTTAATCCCATTGAGAACTTGTGGTCAATCCTCAAGAGACGGGTGGACAAACAAAAACCCGCAAATTCTGACAAACTCCAAGCATTGATTATGCAAGAATGGGCTGCCATCAGTCAGGATGTGGCCCAGAAGTTAATTGACAGCATGCCAGGGCGGATTGAAGAGGTCTTGAAAAAGAAGGGTCAACACTGCAAATATTGACTCTTTGCATAAACGTAATGTAATTGTCAATAAAAGCCTTTGACACTTATGGAATGCTTGTAATTATACTTCAGTATACCATAGTAACATCTGACAAAAATATCTAAAAACACTGAAGCAGCAAACTTTGAAGACCAATACTTTTAAAATTATTTAATTATTTAATTAATTAATATACCATTTAGCAGACGCTTTTATCCAAAGCGACTTACAGTCATGCGTGCATACATTTTTTTGTGTATGGGTGGTCCCGGGGATCGAACCCACTACCTTGGCGTTACAAGCACCGTGCTCTACCAGCTGAGCTACAGAGGAATACTTGTGTCATTCTCAAAACGTTTGACCACAACTGTACAGTATAGTATAAAAACAAAAAAAATGTATCACTGTTGCTGGCTAGTTGGTATAATAGTGGTCTTAGTTCTCAATTCCCCAACGGTCCTCAGTGTCATTCATTTAACGTTATTAAATGAGCTTTTTGGTTTTGTGAAATGAATGAATAATTTGATCAAGACGCCCTGGACTAGCTTATCCGGTTCAAACAAGCATTTGTTAACCCAGGGCTAAGCTTTAGCCCTGGGGTAATGTGCAGTGTGAACACGCCTACTATGGGGCTATGACAGTATGCAAACTATAGTGGAAAAGAAAAACAAACGTGGTAAATTTGATATATTCATCCCTTTATTGAGAATACCATATACCACACCACCCATGATAACATGATGGGATGGAGGAATCCAATTGTTCAAATCATAAAACAAAACATTAAAACAAAGACTAAGAGCAAAGCTAATTTTCCTCAGAGAAAAGGGGTCTGTCCTGGCCACAAAATAAAGGGCCTTATTTAGTTGGAAGTTTTGCTTTTGGTAAAGTTTAAAATTATTACAGAACTACACAAATGAAGTACTGTAATCTTCTTTTAAACGTTCAAGAGTATATCTTTTTTTGTAAATCTTTTTTTAACCTTGTTTTTATTTCTTTTTGCATAGGATTTTATAGAGATGACCCAGGCATTTGAAGCCAATGTAGTGATCTCTCCCCATCTTTTTCTCAGTTGTTTGTGTCCTGGGGGAGGGGGGAAACACAAAAAGCATTGGATAAGAAATATGAACCCACTACAATTGAACCAGTCAAAAGCAATAGATTAAGTTCCATTAGCAAATCTATACACCATTAATGTATGTTGCCAAAAGGTTTGAGTAGACACCATTATCAGTGCTGGGGCAAAATCTCATGCTTCGGCGATATCATGGCTCACATTTTCTCATCTATTAACAATACTAATTTAACAAACAGTTAGTAAGCGCTCTTACACATCAGGAAGTAGCGTCAGCAGCGGTTGAAGTGATGACTCCAACTTTCTGTGTGGCATCCTTCTTTGCCTGGTGGGCCTGGAGCACGGCAACAGCCTCCTCCACCTGCACAAACACACAGAAATAGGAAAAATAAATCAGAGCCTTAGACAAAACTATATGACCCTAGATCACTTTTTATGATCTTATCCTAATATTATCCTGTTGCTGGTACCTTGGAGCGCAGGGATTCGTGGGACTCCAGCATGTGCAGCAGCTCAGAGTTGTCGATCTCAAGCAACATCCCAGTGATCTTCCCTGCCAAGCTGGGGTGCATGGCCTGGATCAGGGGGAACAGGCGCTCCCCTGAGAGAGAGAGAACGAGAGACAGGGAGGGTTAAGAATGGTTCTTATGGTTTCAAATGTTACTGTATAATTGCACCTTATTGCAATGATGTTCAAAACTCTAGATTCTAGAATTTGGCAGTGAACTTCCAAGGACCAATATGACACACCACCAATCTGTTCCAGCACTCACCCAGCATCTGCTTCTGCTCCTGAGGAGGTGCAGAAGCTAGCATGGAGGATGTGAGAGGCTCCTGACCCTGCACATGTACAGCTGGCTGAGCCTGAGAGGAGAAAGACAGGCAACAAAGGGGTTAAAACGACAGAGTGATGGAACAGAAAAATAGTGGAAGGGAAAATAGAGATTTGAGGGAGGAGAAGAGATGAGGGAGGAGGCAGTTTTAACTATGCCAAAGATGGAGGTTGGTGAGATTTACCTGCTGTAAGGCAATGGGCTGCACACCCTGGGGGTTAGTGTTGCGTATGCTGGTGGCGTACTTGTAGGGTGGCATGGCACGAGGGGCAGGGACTCCCATGGAGGGACGAGGACCCATGGCCTGGCCAACACCTCCTAATGGTAGGGATGACACATAAGGACATATGATGGGCCAAGTATATTAAGTTTGATGAGGTAATCCCCTGTAGCTCAGTTGGTAGAGCATGGCGCTTGCAACGCCAGGGTTGTGGGTTCGTTTCCCACGGGGGGCCAGTATGAAAAATGTATGCACTCACTAACTAAGTCGCTCTGGAAAAGAGCGTCTTCTAAATGACTAAAATGTAAATGTAAAATTTCCATAATGTAAATGATAATCAGTTACTATCAGATATACTGAGGGCATCCAGTCTTACCAACTCTCTGAGCTCCAGCAGGCCCCATGCCTCGTGGGCCCTGGGCACTGGTGTTGGGAGCCAGGTGTCTCAGGTTGGCACGTGGACCAGGCTGGCGCAGAGAGTTGGGCAACCCCTGGAACCCACCTAGAGGGGGGGGGGGCAGGGTTATTATTGGACAGCAGTTCAAGTCACCATAATATGTCACTAGGACATATAGTACTTGAATAAACATAGCCTGGATATATAGCCCATGATAAATTGAGTCATTATGTATGATGTCATCTCTAACCCTCACCTTGGCCTCTGCCACCCTGCTGCTGCCAGCGGGGGTTGGGCCTCATCTGGGTCAACTGATTGGGTGCATAGTAGGTGGTCCTGTTTTGGCCCTGGGAGAGACACACACAGTTAATGACAGACGTGTAACCATGTGTGCAATAATGTTGCACAACATTAAAGTTCTACATCCAACTCTACATAAACAACAACTGACTCACTTGTTACAGTGCCAAACATCTTACTGGCATTTGCACAGCAGTATTTATTATATCCACTGTCAGAACCCTGACATGGCTGTTGTGAAGGGTATTTCCAGTAAAGCCCACATAACTTTCTCTCAAACCCATTTTAACCCTCTCTCCCTCCCTCACTAACTTGTGGCACTGCAGGCATGAAGTATCCGCTGGCGGGCTGGAACTGGTTGATGATGGCGTTGGCAGGCATGGCCCTCATGCCAGTGATGCGCTGCATGTACTGGTTAGTGAGGTGGGCCTTGCGCTCTTCTTTGCGCTGAGCCAAGGCCACGTAGAGGGGCTTGGAGCCCACGATGCGCCCGTTCATCTCAGTCACAGCCTTGGTGGCTTCCTCAGGAGAAGAGAAGCAGACAAAGCCAAAGCCCTTGGACCGTCCCTCCTCCAGCATGACCTACAGCGAGAGAAGTCAGCCGTGTTATATCTGGATAACACACTCCAAATACACAACTGAAAAGGGTAATGGTGGTGCACTGTTTTGGCTTCTGCTGCAATCTCACTTTGGCACTGGTGATGGACCCGAATTGGGTGAATTCCTTGCGCAGTTTCTCGTCGTCAATGGTGTCGTCCAAGTTCTTAATGTACAGGTTAACGCCCTGAAACCAGAAAAACACTGCCATGACCCACACACACATACTCAGCCTGGCTTGTTTCCTTAATGGATGGGTACTATGAAACAAGATGTCAGGTTGATTGATGGCATTTGGTTGTAATCAGTGTTCTATTGGACATAGTGGTGCCAGAGGAGGACATGCTGGTTGACCTGGTAACGGCTGATCCTCTCCTGTTTCAGCATCTCAAACTTCCTCTTCAGCTCCCCCTGCCGTTCCATCTTCTTCTGAGCGCGTCCCACAAATACTGTTTTTCCATTGAACTCTTGGCCGTTCATCTCCTCACATGCCTGAATAGAGATGTATTTGTTACAGCCAGTCTATATGCTGTAAACCCATACGTTAACAGAATGTGATTATTAGTGTGATTGTCTCAGTCTTTTTCCACCAACCATGAAAGCCTGCTGACTGTTGTTATGAGGGTATAATAGTACCTTGTTAGCGTCTTCGTGTTTCTCGTAACTGACAAAGCCAAAGCCTCGGGATTTGCCACTGGGGTCGGTCATAACCTTCACGCTGAGAATTCTACCTGCAGGGAAGAAAAGAGAAGAAATGGGACTCAGCTATACGAGTTTTGACAAATGCAATTGCATGTCTAGTTTCCTTGGATGGATTGCAAGACAAATATGTGAAAAACAAAAATGGCTCCACTAATGAGCAAACTCATACTGTATGTTTCAGTCACAGCTTACCGTATTGGTCAAACATTTCCTTTAGCTTGTCATCGTTCATGTCATCTCCAAAGTTCTTGATGTAGACATTGGTGAACTCCTTTGCTTTGGCCCCAAGTTCTGCCTCCCTCTCCTTCCGAGACTTGAAACGTCCAACGAACCTAAACACCGCCAGAGAGCAACGACACAACTCTTGTAAAACAGTCCTGAGCAGGAGGGAGAAAGGGACTGTGATCCATCTCTTATGTTTTTCATCTGAGATTCATGTTCAGGCTTCAAGCAGGTTTTCACAGCACTGACATTGAGGATTCCCAGACTATTAAATGGAAAGAAGCACTTTGTATAAGACAGCAGCACAGTGAGTCAGTCAAGGACCTCTCAGGAACAACGAACAAACTTATTTTTGCACTGTTTATGGCACCACAATCAGGCAAACTGAGCATTCATGCTATACACCCAGAACACACCACACACACAATGACGTTTCCTGGTCCAAGACTTGAGGGATGGAGGGACAGAGGTCCATAAAGAGGAAAGTTGAGGACCAAACGGAGGTTGATAGATCATCTTCCTCTACTCAGACTGTACCTTGCTATGCAGACCTCTCCCAATCTGGCTCCAGTATTGCATTCCTGCATTCGCTCCATCACTAAAACACACAAGCGTGGTTACACACACACACACGACAGGCAGGTGGACGGGTGGACAAACGTACAGACAGACGGATGCTCAGCTGACACATGGAGTGAGGTAACCACAGAGTGGAAATGTGTTGTTGTGTAGGTTTAAAAAGGCACATATCCCAGTAAGCACTGCAGAAACATTCACTGTTAGTTGTGTAATTCAAGCAAACCACACAGAAAGACAGGGTGTATGGGGACTGAGTGTGGGGAAGAGGCTCGTTATATGCATCTACAGCAGGGATGGGCAACTTTGATGGGGAAGGGGGCCACAAAAAAAGATGGGCCTGCGGGACGCCAGTTGCCCATCCCTGATCTACAGGTTGCTGTTCCTCTGCACACCTCACCTTTTGCCGTGTTACAGTATAGGCCAACAGATGAGCTACTACTTCAGACTCCAACCATGTACAATCCTCATCAATATCCTAGCTGCCCTTGATTGCTCTAAACTGTCAACTTTCTACACAATGATAACTGCAGTTCAGCCCCTTCCCCACACCTCCCCACCCTCTCCTAGTTGATCAGACACTCACACCTTGCGGTCGTTCAGAAGCATGCCGTTCATCTTTTCAATGGCGCGGTCGGCTGCGTCCTGCGTCTCAAAGTGCACAAACGCATATCCTTTGGATCCATTCTCATCACACACAACCTGTTTGAGAGACAAGTTGATGCGTTTTTTAAAAAGTTACACAGTATATACACTACCGTTCAAAAGTGTAGGGTCACTTAGAAATGTCCTTGTTTTCGAAAGAAAAGGTAGTGTATATATACACACGTCTATGGCCATACAGATGTCTATGGTCAGAAACACTGCCATCTTACTTTGCAAGACAGAATGTTCCCAAAGGCAGAGAAGGTGTCATAGAGGGCCTTGTTGTCGATGGTCTTGTCCAAGTTCTTGATGAACACGTTGCCCACCCCAGACTTCCTGAGGGAGGGGTCTCTCTGTGACCACATGATTCTGATTGGCTTCCCTTTCACCACATCAAAGTTCATGGTGTCCAGGGCTCTCTCGGCTAGAGGGCAGGGGGGAGAGGTTAGAGTCAGGGTGTTAACTTACAACATGGAGCCTAAAAACATATCAGTCAATGTGTACTGCACACAACCAAACACCATGTTGTTTATGCTATATAGTGCTCACTTCAAATCATGCACACCGCACCATATGTACGCCTCCCAATAATTCACACTACGACATTGTGTTGTGTTGGATAGGACCAGGACTTATTCCTGGTCATGTGATCAGGAAAAACTATTGGCCCTAGTTTATGGCACACTTAACTAAGAAACCATGCTACTATTGGACTGTCCTAACTGCTACACCATGTGGCTATGGAGTCTGACCGCTGCCTGCCACCACACTGAGCAGCTGTTAGTGGGGGGGGGGGGGGGGGGGTAGCTCCAGTTGGCTAGGCAGGAGCACATGGCGCTCACACAGACAAATGGGACCAGAAGTGCCTTACAAGCCACAAGTCATACGTTTATTCAACCTCTCATAATGAATAGATACAATGGCACACATATAGTGCATGTACAGATATAATTCAATGAGGCAAATGGCTCTTGAAAACTTTACATTATCTTATAGGTTCTCTAATAAATACCAGCCATTATTATTTATCATGGTCCGTACTACATATGCCAGTGTGCTGTAACTTTGATTTATGTTTCCAGATCTGCCTATTGTGATTTCTGCTGTGCCAGTTCTCATTTTCCTGCCCCCTCTCTCATGTCCATCTGGGTACACATGCCAACCAGAGAGCTCCCCTTTGTTCCCGTCACTCCACAGCAACACACACCCGGGCTTTAGAGCTAAAAATGTCTGGTAAACAAAACGGAGCTCCCTTGCGTCTGCTGGCATCAGCAGTTTGCTGTGCAATTGTACTTCACACAAACCAGCTCAGAGAAGGTGTGTGACGGTCACCCTGTCTGTCTAGTTCTGGAACGTTCCCATGGCCATGCTTGATGAAAGAACATGAGCACCATGTGGAGCTGAGATTGCTCAATGGATGAATAGCAGAGATAAACATATGATGAAATGAAATAAGAGGTAAAGTGAATGTAACACAAAAAACAAGTGAACTTCACAGGTCAGTGTGATGATATTATACTGTAAATATATTTTGTCATACAACTAAAAACTGGATAGTTTATTCTAGGCGAGGCTGGTAGCCATCCAAATTGATTCTGTCAAACATTACCCTTATATGAAGACTTTAAAACATTTGAGATATTATAGGCAGGCAACATTTGAACTGCCTGAGAGAGGGACTATATTTAGAGAGGGGTCCTGAGAGGTATGTGCTCAATTGGTAGAGCATGGCGCTTGTAACGCCAGGGTAGTGGGTTCGATCCCCAGGATCACCCATACGTAAAAATGTATGCACACATGACTGTAAGTCACTTTGGATAAAAGCGTCTGCTAAATGGCTTATTATTATATTATTGATCATTCTCTCCCATTGATGGAGGAAGACACATTCAACAAGAATGTTCAGATGAGCAACCCCAAGTCTTGCAACTATTTACAAATGCAGCTGTGACATGCTGACACCCAAGTGGAGATGGTCAGCCAACGCTACTTTAGTCACATGAAGGAATACTACTCTCCTCAAATATGTGGTTGCAGTTGCAGGCCTAAATATGTGGTAGTTGTACTACACTTTTACATCCTGACATGTTATATTGATTGTGTTATGTGATAAAAATACAACTTCCAGGTTATATTGTGACCATGGAGTTCTCTAGCTACACTGGCTCAGACTGAGTCAGATACGTGGTGGCAGGTGTGTAATGAAAACCGAATAAGCCCACACTGTTTAACCAACAGCTCAAGCTCAATCATGTCAGGTCACACCCCCTAACAATTACATTATTCTACTGCACATAACTCTACTTAGGACAATTAAAATAGTGATTGTTGAATCGAGTGGTAAATCAAAGTGTGCAATTACATGTTATAGTTCAGATTTCTTACAATAGGAGCAGGGGCTTAGATACAAATGTTGGAAATTCCCTGCAAGCATGGACATTGTAAGCCACTACAACCTGAGCAAAACATTACAGATCCACATGTAGAGGAGAGAACGTGGAGATGTTGTGTATGACACTGCCCTTCAACAATTACTCAAGAAATCCAACCATAAAAAATATGCTGAATCCACAAGAAAAGTTTCAGCAGAAATGTATTTGCAGAAGCAATCTATTCAGACTTATTATCTTCAGATCAGAGGACACACATGCATGACATCACATTATCCCCAGAAAGCAGGGAAATGCAAGTGTTAGGTCGTGTTCCCCTGCTTAGACGTTTCTGACGCCTGGATACGTATTTCAGGTATCAGAAAACCACGTTTCAGCACTCTGGTGCCCGACTGCACAGTCCATAACGTGGTACACAATCATTGGTTGGTGATTGCAACCTCTAATCATGGGAAATGCAGCCTTATTGTTCAGCTGTGCCTTTTCTTCCTCTGTGTGTAAGGCAGCACGGAAGGTATTGGGAATTAATTTCACTACAGAACGGTTCCCTGATGGCCCTTTAAATAGGAGCAGAAATGGGTCACTTTGGGTTAGGCAGTGTGGAGCAGTACCCTGGAGCAGAACTGCAGCCACCCATTCAAAGGTAGAGGCAGAACACAGACAGTAGCCTGGCTACAACATATCCAAAGCAGGAGTCTTGTACATGGCAAAGCAGGAGTCCTGGAGCATATCCTGGTCAATTCTCAAACAATGACACATGGAAGTGGGCCACTGTCGCTATATGGGTCAAGAGATATTCCAAACGTTGTACTTCTCCACTCACCAGTTAGTCCATGAAGGACAAAAATCATTTTGAGAGTCCATACTGTATGTATTAGTAGTCTGATTCACTGTGCCAAGCATGGTTCAGTGCAAGTTTACTTTAGCCCAAAGTGAGGGTTGAAAGGAAAACATTCTCTTACACTATAGTTTTTCATTCATTCTGTTACTTGCAGAGTTAGCCTACACCTCTTCTTAGATTGCCTGTGTATTGGTATGTTTGTACTATGTAGTAGAGTCTGGAGGTAACCACGGAGTTCTATACAGGTAACAGGTGTGAATGCTGTAGATACGTTAAAACAGGAAATCACATCAATAAAATCAAAGATGTGCTTTACATTGGATCCTCTTTAAGACAAATGCACTGAACAGTTGACATGCTCAAATAAAGCCAACATCCAATCAACTCTTTACTGTAGCCTAATGCAAACAGACGCCGTTATTGTGGAGGCATGCTTTATTGCTTACCGTCCGTGGGTTGCGAGAAATTCACATAGGCATAACCCAGAGAGCGTCGGGTGATCATATCACGACATACTCGAATAGACAACACCGGTCCTGCTGGGCTGAATTTCTCATACAGCATAGCCTCCGTGATATCAGGGTGCAGATCGCCAACATAGAGAGAAGCCATTGGATAACTCCCTGTAGTCGCTGTGTTCATTTCTTGGACTGCACAAAATGTATGAATTCTTCTTTCACGCTATAACCACGGGAATTGTTTTTTAAGAAATTGTTCTCCGGGGCAGAATCTGTGCGTAATTTGTGAGTAAAAAAACGCTCAGAATGTGACTTGTGTTCCGATCTAAATTTCAAGACTGGCTCCCAAGGAAAAGTGACAGCTAAAAACAGAATGGAATTTCGGCGTATTCTCCTGATAAATATAATTGTCCTAAACGTCGGATTTAGCCCGGGGCCTCCTGTTAACACAATTTAGCGATTTAGTTTTATTTCGTATATTACGGTAGGCCTATTTATTTTTAAGATTTTATATGTTTTATATTTTTTATATTTTTTTGGTTTTTTAAAGTTGTTAAAGAACGGTGAGTTAGACACTCACGGTTGTTTTGTGGCCGGGGAAAGAGACTGCGTGGGAAAAGCATGGTCACTTTATAGACAGTGCAGTGCGCAGAGGAAATAGACAGGGTCAAACTTGGAATAGAAAAAACCTGAGCATGCGGTGTAAAAGAGAGCGGCGGGTGTACGATCACAACTACCCAGCACATATCCCTACAGCGACATCTGGGTGTGACTATGTGGGGGTCATTATGGCAGGGGGCCAAACACGCCTTAGTTTAAAGGACAATGGGAGAATATTTTGGCCAAAGTAATAAAATATCTTCATTGAAAAAATGGCTTTACAATAACAGTAATTGCAAAAAAAATCAGTTGCATTGAGATTATTCAATTATAAAAATGTATAAACGTCTTCTTTGACTACCCTGCCTTGTCCAGCTCCCAAAAGAGAAATTACTAATAAAAAGTTATTCATTAAAGTCTTACACTAACTAAAGGATACAAGTGAAATGAATAACTAAAATGGAACCATAGTCAAAACTACAAATTACCTCATCACATCCAGGAGGGACAACACCAGGTTCCTCTGCCCAGCCCTCAGCCTCTTCACTGGGAACCTCTCCTCCATGCCAAATCTCCTGATCCCTAGTTCCTTCTCTCTAGGCCTCCTATCCTCCTCATCAATCAGTGTCTGAAAGCCGTCGGCAGCTTGGGACAACTGCAGCTTGGTTTGGACCACAGACTGAGAGTCTGTTGCTTTCGGTTTGGTCACCACCTTTTCAGTCTGCTGGCTCCAGACCCCATCAATAGCAGAATTCAATAGAAAGGCTTTCTGGTCAGTGGCTTCAGGGTATACTTTGGGAAATGGGCTCTTCTCTAGGACATCATTTTGGAGAAGGGGACTCAACAGTCCATCATTACTTTAAGACATGAAGGTCAGTCAAAACAGAACATCTCAAGAACTTTGAAAGTTTCTTCAAGTGCAGTCGTAAAAACCATCAAGCGCTATGATGAAACTGGCTCTCATGAGGACTGCCACTGGAATGGAAGACCCAGAGTTACCTCTGCTGCAGAGGATAAGTTCATTAGAGTTACCAGCCTCAGAAATCGCAGCCCAAATAAATCCTTCACAGAGTTCAAGTAACAGATACATCTCAACATCAACTGTTCAGAGGAGACTGTGTGAATCAGGCCTTCATGGTCGAATTGCTGCAAAGAAACCACTACTAAAGGACAAGAATAATAAGAAGAGACTTGCTTGGGCTAAGAAACCACAGCAATGGACATTAGACCGGTGGAAATGTGTCCTTTGGTCTGGAGTCCGAATTGGAGATTTTTGGTTCCAACCGCCGTGTCTTTGTGAGACGCGGTGTGGGTGAACTGATGATCTCCGCATGTGTATTTTCCACCGTAAAGCATGGAGGAGGTGGTGTTATGTGTGGGGGTGCTTTGCTGGTGACACTGTCTGTGATTTATTTAGAATTCAAGGCACATTTAACCAGCATGGCTACCACAGCATTCTGCAGTGATACGCCATCCCATCTGGTTTGGGCTTAGTGGGACTATCATTTGTTTTTCAACAGGACAATGACCCAACACACCTCCAGGATGTGTAATTGAGATGGTTTGGGATGAGTCGGACCGCAGAGTGAAGGAAAAGCAGCCAACAAGTGCTCAGCATATGTGGGAACTCCTTCAAGACTGTTGGAAAAGCATTCCAGGTGAAGCTGGTTGAGAGAATGCTAAGAGTGTGCAACGCTGTCATCAAGGCAAAGGGTGGCTATTTGAAGAATCTCAAATATAAAATATATTTTGATTTGTTTAACACTTTTTGGGTTACTACATGATTCCATGTGTTATTTCATAGTTTTGATGTCTTCACTATTATTCTACAATGTAGAAAATAGTACAAAAAAAAACCCTTGAATGAATAGGTGTTCTAAAACTTTTGACCGGTAGTGTACCTGCACCTGTCCTGGCAGCCACAGTTGGTGAATCTCCCTGGTCCTGACTCAAGACCATCAGTCCCTCTACCACTACTGGGGGAGAGAGCCAGGGCCCCTTTGGGAGCATGTTTGTCTCCAGAGAGCGACCATTTACATTACATTTTCGTCATTTAGCAGATGCTCTTATCCAGAGCGACTTACAAATTGGTGCATTCACCTTATGATAGCCAGTGAGACAGCCACTTTACAATTATTATTTTTTATTTTTTGGGGGGGGTGGGGAAAGGGGGGGGGGGTAGAAGGATTACTTTATCCTATCCCAGGTATTCCTTAAAGAGGTGGGGTTTCAAGTGTCTCCGGAAGGTGGTGAGTGACTCCGCTGTCCTGGCGTCGTGAGGGAGCTTGTTCCACCATTGGGGTGCCAGAGCAGCGAACAGTTTTGACTGGGCTGAGCGGGAAATGTGCTTCCGCAGAGGTAGGGGGGCCAGCAGGCCAGAGGTGGATGAACGCAATGCCCTCGTTTGGGTGTAGGGACTGATCAGAGCCTGAAAGTACGAGACAGAAGTCCCTGATGCCATCAAGCTTTTAGGGCCACTAGGGGCTGCAGAGACAAACTGTAGCACTAGAGAGGACTTGTACCTATACATTCCTGAATCACTAGAATCAGACTGGACATAGTTGGACATGTGAGGGCTGGAGGAGAAATCCTGCTGATGGGCTGAAGCCTGAGGCTTGGTCTCTCCATCCACAACTATCAGGGGACCACTGCTCACAATGGCTTGAGCATCTGAAAGGAGACAAAAAAAATTAATTTAAGCCCGAAACATTAACCTCTTAAGGATCGGACCCTTTCTTAAGTTTTCGCCTAAATTGACATACCCAAATCTAACTGCCTGTAGCTCAGGACCTGAAGCAAGGATATGCATATTCTTCATACCATTTGAAAGGAAACAATTTGAAGTTTGTGGAAATGTGAAATTAATGTAGGATAATATTACACATTAGATCTGGTAAAAGATAATAAACAAAAAAACTTTTTTTTTTTTTTTTAATCATCTTTGAAATGCAAGAGAAAGGCCACAATATAATATTGCAGTTTAGGCGCAATTTAGATTTTGGCCACTACACGGCAGCAGTGTGTGCAAAGTTTCAGATTGATCCAGTGAAGCATTGCAATGCTGTACTATTTTGTATCAAGTCTGCCCAAATGTGCCGAATTGGTCAATTGATACATTTTCAAGTACATAACTAGAGAACATACAAAAATGATATGGTAATACAAAATGTAAGTTTACACACTCCCAGGAATGTCATAAATGATGTATCATTAGCTTATACACTAACTTTCACACATCTAGATGGCCAGGGTGGGGTGGGTGTGGAGCCAGAGACAGCAGGGGTTCAAACTGTAGAACTCAGTTCCTACATTTGAATATGTTTTATCAAACAATAACTATGCTACATTTGATCTATGGGACCCTTAGGATGACAAATCAGAGCAAGACTACAGAATGCAAGTACATTATTTACCTTCAGAAGTGAATATATCAAACCAGTTGCCGTGATAAGTTTTGTTGTGACTCAAACAATAGCGTGGCATTTTTTACACTGTAATAGCTATTGTAAATTGGACAGTGCAGTTAGATTAACCATAATTTAAGCTTTCTGCCCATATAAGATATGTCTATGTCCTGGAAAGTTTGCTGTACTTACAACAGTCATGCTAATCACATTAGCACACATTAGCTCAACCTTCCCGTATACAGGACACCGATCCCGTCGAGGTTAATGAATGACTGTCCTAGAAGACTACTATACAGCCATGGCAGTTCAATCACATTAAGAACAATGAGTAGGTTCTTGAAAGAGCCTTTACACCTGGAGCCACAGCAGCTGCACACCTTATCACCACAACCTCCTCCCATCTGGAACAGATGGGTCAACACCCATTCAAGCTAAATGTAATAGAAGAAATCATGAATAATGTTTCCCTGGCCCATGCCCAGATACCTTGATTTGATCTTGTTTTAGTTGCACGACTTAGCATCTGGAGACACACCATGGTTAGAGATGATCACACCGCAGTGCACATAGGTCTAGGAAGGACAGTCAGAACTAATTGGACTTTCAGTAAGGAGTCCAAAGTGGACAGTCAGAACTAATTGTCCTTCTAGATTTACTTACCGGTGAATGCAAAAGAGATGTGTTGAGGATTAAATTAACTGCATCTGCTCTCCTGAAGGCCACAAACTCTGCCACAGCATGCTGGGATGCCACAGAGGCTATGCACCTGCAGAGAAAATATTAATAATGTACTCCAGTGATTTACTGATACATGTGTTCTACTCCCATCCCTACTACTAACCCTTTATTTAATATGACCCAAAGCCTTGTCCTGGTCACTGCATCAGGGGATGTAGAAGCAAAGCAGGACTGAGTGAAGAGCTGCTGGTTAGGGGCAGGCCTGGTGGACACAGATGCCTGGAGGTGGATGATCTGCCCTCTTTGATAGATGTTGGTTTCAGATGCATTGGTCCAGTATGCTGCAAGTTCCATGATAACATTACACTTGTAAAGAGATTAGTAAAAAAACTAAAAAACAATCAATTTAACAGTGTCCCCTTTATCATGACTCACGGTTCATCGCATTCACAGCAAAGCCCCAGTTCTTGTGGACTCCAGTCTTGTGAGCTTGTGTTGAAACAGGTGTAGTGGGACTCACCTCAGATATGGCAATATTATAATTAAGCAGCAGCCAACACCCACATTACTTAAACACACGTAGAAGCTTTGAGACAAACCTCTGTGTCATGCAGGAGATGGGCAGTACAAAAGGAGTCAGCCACCAGGTGAGAGTTAAGGTTGAAGTGGAGGACATTGGAATAGGTCTCAAATCCATTGTGTGTCTGGAGAAGAAAATGGTATGTTATACACATCTTGAACTCATTTGAGAGAAACATTTTATTGGAAAGCATGTTCATGTCAGAAGGACATTTGGTATAGGCTACTCACTTCTCTGTTAGTTTCACACTGGGTGAGTTCATAAGTGAAGACAAATTAATTCTCTTGAGCACAATTGCGCTGGCACCCTACACCAAACATGAACTCCTCACCACAACACCATTAAACTGCTGAACTACCTGAAGAGTTAGCTGTGTTC